GCAAATTCGTAGCCATACTGAAGCCGTACAGTATTCTTTCGTAGTCGTAATACGTGTTGTGATTGGATGAATTACTGCAAGACAATGGAAATCCATTTAAATGTTACGGCATGTTGTACTGCTCTAAAAGATCGCGCTTGAAGGTCTCCAGCAACCTTAAAGTTTTATTATTTTATCTGGCTCTTTTAACCTTTTATTTTTAATTATTTTCTTTTTTCTCAGGATATTAGTGCTGCGGTTATTTCTGCCTGGAAGAAAGACGAAATGCGTACAACATTGAAAAAAGTCAAGAAGATTGTTGACGATACTGACAAGGCGCGCAGAGCGGCCTGGATGCAAAACGTAAGATTCTTATTAGTCCTTTATATAGCAACCAATCGTCCTTATTTAGGCGGGGATGGTGTGGTGTCAGTGAGTTAACCCTTTCAAGAATATCTTCTAATATCGAATTGGAATTTAGAAGTTGATTTTTGTGGAGGGAGGAAAACCAGAGCACAACCTAATATATATTTTTTTCTAATTTTAGGCTGTAGATAAAGCAAAGTCAATTATTCAGCAGAAACCAGATATGATAACATGTATTGAAATGTTTGACGCAGGTTCCAACACCAAGGTAAGATTCTAACTCAACTATCTAATAGTTAAAGGGATTAGCGAATCAGTGATAAGTACATCTCTATCTCTGCCTTTATAAGCAATCGATAAGGCCACGAGTACCAGTATCTTTATCACGACGTTCTTGGTACCGCACACTTCAAACTGCAGTTCGACGTCGGGCGTCAGTTTCCGTCAAACTTTTGACATTTGACAAGGCGACATAACGGAGTTGTTGCTATTGAATTTCATTGGTGCTGAATCTCGTATGATTGATAAGTAAGTAATGCCTATCAGTTAATTCATTAAACCCGAAAAAAAATTCGGGCGGAGTGGGAATTGAACCTGATACCTTCGGGATTCCACACCACTGCTCTATGACCGCTGCTCATATGATTAGACAGAGCAGCCAAGAGGGCGCAATATCCTACTCTTTTAATTCCAACGGTTGCACAAGCAACTACAACATCGAATGACTATTATTGCTATGTAGTAAAGACTTCAACTCTAGATCTGTTTCATATTTACAGCACTCGTGAATCGTTCGTTCGGGTACCCGAGGACCGAGTTTTACACCATGCACATAATCTATAGAAATAGTGCACAACTAGTCAAATAGCTTAGACTGTTTTTTATTTGTGTTTACCAACAGATTCTTGATGCGGCTTTGAAACAATTCAAAAGTCTTTCTCCAAAAACAGCTGCAATGCTGTTTAGCGTGGATAGTGATAACGAAAAGGCCATATGTATGGCAATCGTTCCCAAGGTAATACAACACTGTGCTCAGTGTCCTTTTTGGTCAATGAAATTGCATATAAATGTTTTCTATTTTTTCTTTCACCTTAACTGGTTCTTGGGTCAGCCTCTCCTTTTTCTATTCTTGATTTCTTTTTTACTATTTTCTTTTGTTTTTCGTGATCGTTAAATTCACTTTTTTCTTATTTCCTCATACTTCTCTTTATCTTTCTCTCTTTTTTCCATCCTTTTTTTTATTTTTTTATTTAACTTTATTTCTCGTTTCCTGTTTCTTCTCTTCTTTTGTCTCGTTTGTCTCTTCTCTTCTCTTCTCTTCTCTTCTCTTCTCTTCTCTTCTCTTNTTCTCTTCTCTTCTCTTCTCTTCTCTTCTCTTCTCTTCTCTTCTCTTCTCTTCTCTTCTCAACGTCTCATTCGCATTTCTCGTGGTACTATTTACAGGAAGTTATTGATAAAGGGCTCAAAGCCGATGAATGGACCAAAGTAGTTTCCGAGATTCTTGGCGGCAAATCGGGAGGCAAAGGAATGTCTGCCCAAGCATCAGGACCAAACTTCAAAGATGTTCAAAAAGCCATGAAAGCTGCTGAGAAATTTGCCAATTCTAAGCTACAAAATTAAATTCTCTTGAATTTCATTCCTTAGATTTATTAACGAAGAATGTCCCTTGCACTTTGCCACGTGCCTAACCAACAGAGAGCTTCTTGAATTGAATTAAGTAAACTTAAATCCCTTGGCTGTTCCATTAGGGTAGTTGTATTGATGCTCACTTCACCCTGCAAAGGTAGAAAAAATGTATGATCACAACATTATAGACTTCTTAAGAACATATTTTCTTAGTATGACAACAGAAAGTAGAACTTTAGTCATACAAGGACTCCCAAAGAAAGTAACACAAAAGGTCTTTGACAATTCTGGGCTGCCCTGTGTAGCATGAGAAAACAAACGTCCTTTCTCTCAGGTTTTTTTTTTTTTGTTTGTTTGCGTGCGAAAAATATGATATTCAATGTTGAGTAGTGGTGTTTTACATGTGTCAATCTTCTACCTATTACATAATACACCTAATATCTAATAGATCATTGAGATAGACTTGAAACTTTTAGTAATTTTCTAGCCTGCGTAGCCATGCGTTATTTTCAAGTGCAAAGCATATCAATTCCGACAACTTCTAGAAATTAGAGGCTTCTTACCATTTAAACCAATCCATCTATTAATCCAAATAACACCATGGTTATTAGGCTATATTAGGGATCAAAATGACCCTCGTAGTAGGAACGATAACTTCCACTAACCCTCGCTTCTCATTGGGGACATTTAGACATTAATTCCTAACGGGATTAATGAACGCTTTGTTTTCAACTAATCCTTTCTTTTGTCTTTTGATTGTTTGTTTTTATTCCCTTGCCTACCTTGTTCTCATTGGTTTATTTTGTCTTATTCTATCATATAAGCACTCCTTTCTGCCACCTCTTTCGCTTTTACTCCGACGAAGAACTAGCGTCCGAAGCGTCAGTAAGTTTTTTCATCTTTACACGGTGTATAACTTACCTTTTATCATTACAATTCCCTAATAGCCTTGTCATTCCTTATGAACCTTGCTAGATACTGTTACCATAACAGCGATAGTGATTCTGTTCGATATACTATACAATAATAAGAATAGCAAATTGAAAAAATACCACAAGCTCTTTGATTTTTTTTCAGAATCGACGTTTTCAATCTAGGAATGACAAATAAATTTGATGTGGTTTAATTATCCAATCACGAATTCTTAATAATCCGCATGCATTCAACTTTCCTTATGGCCAAACAAGAAACGACGCGTACCAGCAACTACATTTTTTCCCATCATTTTCATTTTCACAAACCAAAAACCTTCACATACAATCAGCTGCAACTAACAACTTTCACCAACCTTTCAACAATCAATGCAAAAGAAACAATGCATGCTGCCTGCTTCACTGAGCTTCAGGGTCATGCATAAAACAGTTTCCAACGCGCAAAATAAACATTTTGAAAAAAGATTTATAATAATGGGAAGTCCTTCTATCGCGCATTTTACATACGTCTCGATTTAAAACCATTTAAATTTTCTATGAAAACGCTACCACGCAGCTTTCAAACGTGAAAACCTCCGTCGACTGTGCCTCGACTGGCAACATTCACCATCACTAATTCTCTACCTTCATTGACAACCTTCACCATTACAAACTGACAACCTTCACCATTACAAACTGACAACCTTCACCATTACAAACTGACAACCTTCACCATCACCAACTGACAACCTTCACCATCACCAACTGACAACCTTCACCATCACCAACTGACAACCTTTACCATCACCAACTGACCACCATCACCAACTGACAACCTTCACCATCACCAACTGACAACCTTCACCATCACCAACTGACAACCTTCACTATCATCAACTGACAACCTTCACCAACTGACAACCTTCACTATCATTATCTAACAAACTTGGTTATTTTTATCTAAGGACTTTCACTATCACTAAAAGCTTTATAATATTTAGTTACCTCAACATTCTTCGACAAATGTCTCTTTTCTGATTATCTCTGCACTAACTATACTTATGCTATAACAATACCTATACAGCTAGTTTTAGTTGAAGAGAGTTTATATACTGAGATATGTTTTGGTGCTGATCTTCTGTCGAGTCCTAAGCTACCACCATGCAGAGAATAGTTTAGTTCCCATTTGATCACATCTTTCTCAGTAACAGCACCGCAGCGGTTCGAATTTCTTTAATTCTCCAGCAATAGATGATTGGATTCAGTATTCCATTTGACATCACAAGGGTCTCGGAGATGTTGAACCCTTTTTTTATTTCGTAGGAATGGCCATTTACCACAATCCGCACGAGTCTGGTAATTCCATAAGGAATATAACACAATATAAACGCACCAATCACCAGAAACATGACTATTACGGATTTCCTGAATCTTACCATGTTGTTGGGTTGTAAGGCAGGTTGTAAGTTGAGATTGTATCTGCAATGAGTGTCTACGAATTACGAGACACACCCGGAAGATGAAATAGACGTCTAGAGCGAGTAGAGCAGCGAAAAAACAACCGTTAATAAAAACGACAGCCTTCGAGTTGGAAAATATTCCAGAATAAACAGCAAAACATACACTATAGATCCAGATGAAACCAATAGCGATTCCAATACGTTTGGTTGTGATGGTGTCTTGGTATCGCAAGTGAAGGTGTACGGCCAGGAATCGATCAGCAGTGATGGCGGTCAGTGTTAAGAAAGATATTGCTGCAAACGGCAGTGTACTGAAGGCGTAGACTTTACCAAAGGAACAATACAAATCGAAGTTACGACGACGCTCGTAAAACGTGAATAAGCAATACGAGAGCTGTGAAAAGATCCCAACACTCAGATCAGAGATGGCGAGACCAAGAATGAGAATATTGGAGGGAGTTCGTAAAGAAGGTGTTCTTGAAATGGTGTAAATGACCACAACATTACTGTAGCTGACTACAACAGCCATAACAGCGTTGATAACGATCATGGCAAGTAAAAAGTTATCGAAATGATTATCGCGAGGAACGTAAAGAAAGTAGACAAAAAATGGTGCGCAATCCAAAGTCATGTTGTTGTCATGTGCAGCTTGATCACTGGTGTTCATTATTGCAAAAAAGGTTCAACTTGTTAAAATCATAACCGAACTTCCAATTTCGAAGCTGAAATTTTCACAGACGGACCGAGAAACTCCCAAGAAATATCGAGAACCGACAACACTGCGATACCATGGAAACAGAACCATATGTCATTTCATTTGGTCTAGAAATCAAACTTGATAAGGAATAGGAAATACCTTATTAGTCATAACAAGAGTGCATTCAACTAGTTTCGATTTATTATTAAACTTCCAGCTGATAATCAACCTATCACTCCAAGCTACTCCAATACTATAACAATGCTATTCGGCTGTTCCAAGCATATTCGGAACAAACTCAGGCCACAGGAACTGCCTCTATCGTACTGAGATGGACATTTAGATGATAATGACGGAAATCATATACAATACAAAAAACATTTTTTTCTCGTTATTACCTCTTACTAGCCTCTGTTTGCGAGATTGAATTCAGAGCAAGACAGATCGCAAAGTTATCTATGGAATCTCTTTGTCGATCTCTGAGGAACCAAACAGAAAATAATTTTGAATGAACAAAACACGCACCAAGGATCCAAGTAAAACCAAGATAATATTTCCTATTGTTACACTACAAACAATTGCTTTTAGCACAGGAGCTGAATGAAGAGGATAATGCATATGAATAGAATACTCGATTGATAAATTGATATAAGAACAAAAGATGACAAGATTATTTCTCATTTTTACTTTATGAACTTCTTCACAACTCTCAAGGTGACGGAAGTACTCTTGGAATGTTTTTTTTCCTTCTTTTTTCCTTTGGATGATAATAATATAACATTCGCAGAGCGTATTTAACGAGGGTCAATGCGCTGACATTTAAAACAAATCAAGATTGAGATATAAAGTTTAAATTAAGTTTAAAGTTTAAAGTCGATCAATTACAGTTCGTAAGTTTTATTGAATCAGTAATTTTTTTTTTAAATATGACTTGATTTTGCCCACTTCATGTTCTCTCAGGCAGAATGTTCTAGAATCAGTTGATGTGCTGCATATAAAAACAAGCACTGCCCATAAGAAGCGAGTTTGACACTTGGATGGTCAAAAAAAGAATTTTTTGAAGAAGATTATTGACTAAACTGGAGAAAGTACATTTCGTTCTTGTAGACCAAAAGTAGGATCCTGTAATTCATTCTTTTCTCGATTGGCGCAACTAATGTAGTTCTTGCAAAATTAGTTTGCCTAACTTTCAATCTTCACTCATAAACCCTTTCAGGCCAAGACACTGGAAAACGTTTCACGCGTGTCCACCTGCATATGCAAGTAGTATAGGGGATGGGGGTTCCAGCGCAACGACCACCGGAGGATTACCCGTCTAAAGTGAATTCCTCGATTCGTACCGCGATTACCCGCATCCCGTGT